TTATTTGTGTTGTTATTACAAGTGTTGCTGTGACCCCCTAGGAAAAGGTTATGCCCCACCCTGTATTCCTGTAGAGAGTACAAAGGAAAATAGCTACAGAAATAAATGCACATATAGAGAAGAATAAAATGCCGTACATTTAAACATATCCACTCAATATATTTATTTGGATTTTGACAAAAGTTGTCCACCTAAAAAAATTAGGAGATAAGAACTCTGTTTTCTGATCAATAAAGAAATATTGAGGAATAAAAAACAGAGTGGAAGAATTAATGTAAATTCAATCAGTGAACTGATGATTTTCAACATATGCATATTACCTGGAGTTATAATTCAGTATAATTAGAAGAAAAGTGGCAATTAAGAACTCCAAAAATATATCCAAAACTATATGAGTAAGTGTCTATGGTAAATTTTATATAGTGTACATAAATAAAAAGTACTGAATATTGCAGAGAAAATTTTTTAACCAGGTATATGATGATAATATAACCATGAAATAGTTTCTGAAGTTGTCTGGGTTTTTTCCCTTATTTTTGGAGCTCAAACATGAGACTCTAAAGAGACATCACAAAGGTTGTCATACGTGTGTTAGTTTAAGGGATACAAATGTGAGGGCTCTCCTTTTTTTGTTTTTAGATTTTTTTTAGTTCATGAGTATACAAACCTTAATGTAAGCATCAATACAAATATGTGTATTAAGCTGAAAATAATATCTAGAAATTCTTTCTTCAGCTTGTGATGATGACTGTACAGGGCAGTTGTTGGATGATCTGGATAATTTTGGCAAAGCTATGCTTTTGGTAAACTTTACTGGTGCTATCTTGGCACCTTATGGAACACTTTCAGACTTGGAAAATGCCACAAAACATTTAAAGGTATGTAAGCTATTGCTTATCTTTTACATTGCAGTTTATATTATTTTTTAGGTAGCTGAAAATTAATATATTTATTACCACTGGCCTACTTTAAGTATGGTTTGATTGGTTCTTATGCCTTCTATGATAAAACATTATTTCTAATTAGACATAATTCTATGGAATCAATTCTTCTGAACTTGCCACCCACTAAGCCATGGTTGGGAGCTGGGTTGATTCTCTCAGGTGTTATGGTTAAGGAACAGCTTTCTGTCTTACTGTAAATCCTATATAAAGTGTATCAAAATAAATCTATGTGTTGTCTCCTGGAAACAGACCTATCACTTCACATGTTAAATTCCTAATGTTCAGTAATGATACTACTGATAATTAATAACAATGTTCCATTTAGTTGTTGTTATTTATATAATTCCTTACATAATTGCTTTTATACAATGTCTTCAAATATTTTATAACAAAACTGGGAGAGGGCAGTGTTGTAGTTAGATGTGCAGCTATGCAATAGCAATAGCACTGAGATTTATATACCACTCCATAGTTGTATATATAGCCATACAGACCTCTCTGAGTGGTTTACAGATGTCAGCATATTGCCTCCAACAATCTGATCCTCATTTTACCGATTGTGGAAGAATGGAAGGCTGAATCAATCTTGAGCTGGTCAGGATCGAACTCCTGGCAGTGGGCAAAATTAGCCTGCAATATTGCATTCTAACCATTGTACCACTACATATGCTTCCATTCACATGTTACACACTGTGCAATGTATGAATGGGAGCATACGTGGTATGCTCCCAGTGCCCTTTCCTTCATCACTGATTCTTAAGAAATACTGATTTGTTTTAATATCCTTAGAGTATATGCTTATGCGAGTTCTGAATCACATGCCTTTCAAATTTGTACAGCACTGTAAACTTATATTGAAATGTTATTACAGATTCAGGTTTTCCAAGATTCATCAATTGAATCTGTTAGACTGTCTCACTAACATCTTGACTGAATTAAAATTTCACATTTTGATCAGTTTCAGTTACATACCAATGTAATATAGTTTTTATTTCATTTTCTATTATATTCCAACAAATTGCTTAGTTATTTTGAAGTTTTTTAGGAACATTATTTAATAAAAAGGACTGTTAAAGCATCTAAGTGGGAATAATTGCATGCTAAAAGGTCTAAATTTAAATCCTTGTGTCCAGTCCTGAAGCTGTTTGCATACACATTTTATTTCCAGGAATCTTTGGGGATTGAAGAAAGTTCAAACTCTTTAATGAAAATTATGAATGGCAATCTTGATACAATATCAAATGTTTCAGATGAGTACTACAAAGAGGTAGGGATTTTGTGTCTTTATTTCAAGTTTAAGTTTACCTATTAGAAAAATAGGTAAAGTAAAAATTGGTAAAAGTAGACCTGCAAGTAGTAGATTTACCACAACATTGAATGGATCCAGGTAATTATAAATGTTTAGCTGGTTAAACCTGTATATTTACTGTAAAGCTTATCAGAATAGAATAGAATAGATTAGATTAGATTAGATTAGATTAGAATTCTTTATTGGCCAAATGTGATTGGACACATAAGGAATTTGACTTTGGTGCATAAGCTCTCAGTACATAAAGCTATAAGTAATAAATCATGGTTATAGTCATCATAAAAATATATGCATCATAAATCATAAGATACAACATTTAGTGATAGTCATAGGATACTAAATAAGCAATCAAAATAAATCATACTATGAAACTAAATGAAACAATATAAATTGTAAAGATACAAGCAACAAAGCTATAGCTATGTAGAAAAGGAGATAGGTAATAAGAAGGATGAGAATAATAATAGTAATACAGTCTTAGTAAGTAGTTTGACAGAGTTGTGGGAATTAGTTGTTTAGCAGAGTGATGGCATGGGGGAAAACTGTCCTTGTATCTAGTTGTTCTGGTGGACAGTGCCCTATAGCATAGTTTTGAGGGTAGAAGTTGAAACAATTTATGCCCAGGGTGTGAGGCGGTCTATAGATATTTCACATATTTTCTTTTTCACTCATGCAGTATACAGGTCCTCAATTAAAGGTATGTTGGTAGCAATTGTTTGTTCTGCAGTTCTAATTATCCATGATTATTATGTGCCTTCACAGGTATTTTATTTTATTTTAATTAATTTAATTTCATTTAATTTTAGCCATCTTAGGGATTTAATTCAGCTGAAACCTATCCTTGATATTTTACCTAGCAGTGTGCCTGTATGTAGGTGTGAGATATGTGGAAAATTTGTGTCTGCACTCCAAAACAAGGAAAATTAAGAGAAAATAAATTAGCTAATATTAATATATTGATTAAAATTAATTTGCTTGTAAAAAAAGACTTGCAGAATTAATTGTTTTCTCATATATCTCAATTCACATATAATATAATCACATCCACTCCCTGCAACAACAATTATAATTAGATTGAAATAGGCATGGGGAAGAACAAAAGAGAAAGAAAAAAAGTCTGAAAACCACGAGAAAGGGTTTGAACCTAGGCCTAACCACCCTTTACTTTGTAGTAAGTTGCACAGAGTTTAGTAGTTCTTATTCCCAAGTTACTGCTTAGTCCAGCATTGGTTGCTGCTGAGTCCAGTCTACTTAGCAGCTTGAAGAAATTTGGGAATACTATCAAAACAGTCTTATTTTTCTGGCTCTAAAAAGAATGAGGCTCAATTAGGCTGTAGAGTTAATAATAAATTAATAAAATAACAAAAAGGACATCCTGGCATGCTTACTCTAGAATAAGTGCGATTGAATTCAATGCCTTTGTCTACATTCATGGAATCCTGATCTCTACCTCACTTATGTGACTTACACATCTCCTGGAGCATGGTAGTTTCTCCCTCCTCCAATCATTTCTTTTCTATTATTTGCAGCAAAAACTACTACCTCTACCTTTCACTAGCTCTGTTAACATTTTCTTAGGTAATGGCAGTTGGACTTACCTGAACTGCATGTTTCGACGAGAAGTGTGGGAGGAGTAACCATTGAGGAGTAACCATTGGGTATTAACCTAATCTTGATTGCCTATTGGAGATTGAGGAAATCTTTGGAAGCCACACCTCCTGCTGGTCCGGTGGCTCGCCACTTTAACCGAACATCTGAACGGTATCTGAAAGGAAGCAAAAAGAAACAGCCAATACCAATTCTTCCTAGCTGTTGCTTGAACCTGGACGTGCTCAGGCCCTGCTTCACGGCGAAGGTCGCCATAACGGGCGGGAAGTGACTCCTCCCACACTTCTCATCAAAACATGCAGTTCAGGTAAGTCCAACTGCCAGTTTCTGAAGAGAAAGTGTGGG